AAAAAAAAAAAGAAAGGCAATCTGCCCAGAGTAACGGGTTACCATATATAAGGTAATCGGTAACTTGATGAAAAAAGGCCCAGAAACGTGAAATTTATACTGAGTAACCGGTTACCCTATATAAGGTAACTGGTTACCACTAAACCAGAAGCAGAAAATCAGCTTTTAAAATCAGTTTTCAGCATCCAACAACTTATCCAATCACTCATATGAACATGTTATCAATTAAGCACGAAATTAACATCAAATATCAATGATCAAACAATATGTAAACATAATCAAACACTGAAATCACAAATTGTCAAGATCCAAATCAATAAAATGGATCAAAAAGCAGCAAAAACCATAAATCTACATTGTGATTACTCAAATAAGCTTAAAACAGAATTAGATCTAGAATTGTCAACCTTCAAAGCTGAGATTTGCTTTGGTGATTGTTGATTCACTTTAAATTAGCATATCCAAGCAAAAAACCCAGAGATTCTTCAAGATCCAATAGCTTCCTTATCGTAGAAATGAAGAACAAGCAAGATCAAGCAAAAATGATCCAAAAAGCACTTCAAATCTAGCTTCCAAATTCAGATCTAAAACCAAACGAAAATTGAATCGTGAATTGAAGATAATGGAGATGAATGAAGTAGGTTTAGCTCTAGAATTCAAGGATTCCAATGAAGAATCAAAGAATTCAAGTGAAAGCTTTAATGGAGATTTTGGGATTGAAAAAAGTGGAGAGAAAGTTGAGAGCAAATTCTCAAGAATGAGTGTGAAATTTGAAAATGAAGGTTAATTGTGTGAGGTTTGGAGCAAATTCACTTAAATAAGCTCTAGATTTGGAATCAAAATGTGGTTTGGAATGTGGATTGGCATTTGGAATGAAAATTAGGAGTGGAATTAGGAATGAAGTGTTTGAAATTTGGAGGGAAATGGTGAAAAGTGAAGCAATTATAGATCCTTCCAATGATGATCATGTGAAATCAATGGTTAAGAATGATTGGGAAATTGCACATGCTGAAAATTCAAATATTTTGGAAAATTTCGCTTGAAGTAACCGGTTACTCCAAATCAGGTAACCGGTTACCCTATTCAAAAAATGCCCATTTTGGCGCCAAATGGAGGGAATCATGTATAATCACCCGTTGCCACCTGTTATAAGCTCTGTTAAACCTCTGAAACTTGCCCTTGGATATTATAACTGTGAGGATGCCTGAGATAGCCTGTACGCCGTCTCCTGAGCTGAAAATAACCTGCTGAATAAAATAAAATCGACCGCTCGATCGCTGGGCAAAATAAATGTTGGAGCCTCTGACGCTCGCTGTTTGAAACTCTTGCAACAAAAAGGAACCCTGAACCACAAAAATACCTTAATCTCATGTCTCGAGAACCAATTTTATGATATGCAGAAATGCAAAAAATACAGAGAAACAAAAGTCAATAAACCAAGAAACGATCAGGAAAATTTTGGGGTGCTACACTTGTTGGTTCCCATCAAGTTATTTTGTTATCATTTTTGTTTCATGTTGTTACATGCTTGCCTTAATCTTTCTTGGTTGTTACCATAACTTTTATATCTTTATCATATTTAAATGCATGCTTATGTGTGCTTTAACTGTGTTAAGTTCTCCCCAAGAGATGGAACTTGTTAGTTCTCATCCAGTTGCCTTGTTATTCCCTTATTCCAAAGGAAAGTCTCTCAATTGACTTCACAACCATAGATAGCTCATTACCCATCCCTTTAACTTGGTTAAGTCATTAGGTCCTTTAACTTAGTTAAGTTAGAACCTATATCCATTAGACTTTGCTTTAAGTCTAAAGACCTACCCCTTGTTAGGAGTATCCTTCAATTAAAACTTTAAGATAGAGTTTGTTAACTCTATGTAACAATCATTGTCATGATTAATTACTCCTCTCTTGACTTTTTGTCAAAGTCAATCCTCTTGAGTGTTAAACTTAGATCTAGAGAGTTTTGTTAAACTCTACAAAAACATTGTTATGTTTGTTCTCCCTAGAGTCTTGACCATAGTCAAGTGTTCCTCATCCCTAGTTAGGAAAACTACGGTTGCTCTAATTTCATCCTAGTAAGGATACGTATGCATAAGATGCGATATCTTTGCGAGCAAACTTAAAACTATCCTTAGGTCTTTACCTCAACTTTACCCTAACCTTGATCTCATAACCCTAGCAAACAACTTAGATAACTTAGCATACATACACGCAAAAGGTTCATGTAAAATACTACAGATGTCTAGGATGTGAAATACCTACCTTAGGCATAACCAACCCCCGATCCCCGAATCTTTAGCGTTGTTGTTACATCGCGCAAAAGGTTTTTCTTTCTTTAAAATTTCCTTTGGATAAATCAAAGTTTGGTGGTGAATTTCAATAAATTAAGATTCAAGTTAATCAATAGCTTGACATCTGATTCTCACCGCAACGACATGTCATAAGGTTGTTCATGTCCTATTGGAGGCATTGAGAACGCGGGCACATAAAGCCTAAACGTATTATTTTCCACTGGAGGGGGGGGGGGGGGTCACTAGTGGACCCTGTGTTCCCAATAGGATAAAATGGGACCACTTTGAACAATCGACTGCACAGGCGTCGAACTTGTTGTAGAAGGTATGGCTTCAGATATTGACGATGGAACTGTATTGCCCCCTATCAAAGAAGAAGGGGTGATTCTTCATTATTTTGGTTGTTTGGTGAATTTAGATTCACCATTCTCCTTACGTATCTTCTCCTTGGTCTCTCTTTATTATTTGTGGATATTCTACCACTTCTAAGTCTCATGCAACAAAGTATGGAGAGATAACAATGAAGAACTTAATGCAAAAATTATAAAAACAAGAAATATTTTGACACAATAGCACTGTCTCGCCGAACTTGCCAATTTGTTTACAATGAATATTGGTAAACAATCGCTAATCTTCTAAAAAATTGGTTTACTTGCAGGATCAATTAGTGAATCTTAAGGACATAGCTATTGTCTCAATATATTTCTAGAAAATTGATGAACATTTCGACAATATTCATTTATATAAAAGGTTGCTTTGATTGTTTTTGAAAAAAATAAACTTTGTAAAAGCTTGATAAAGATAATGTAATGAAGAAAAGAACTTCAAAGTAAAAGTGCAGTAAAGAACAATTTTATAAACAAAAATACATTTCTATTGAAATGAAATAAAATGTGGTGTTTCACACGTACATTCTCAATAGTGACTCTTTTCTCACTTGACTTAGATACTTTTAGTAAATTTTGAGTATAGTATAACAAATGAACACACATAAATCCTAACATTAAGACTCTTATTTATAATAAATCGAAATAATTGTCTTCAACAGACATTTCTCCAAAAACTGACACGTTTCGCCATGCATGCTTTCATTTTGCCATAGTTCGCCACGCGTCGCTACTGAGAAACGGATAAGGACAATTATGTATTCATATCTTGAAATTCAAATCTTCGGACGAAAAGAGACTTCAAACACCCTTCGTCGAAGTGACTTTTTAGACTTAGAAAATATTTCTAAGTATTGTCCAGACATCCCCTTCATGGAGACTACTTCGACTAGGTTTCTCACAAGCTCCTGTTGGAGTCAGCAAAAACTCAAGAAACTTGATTTTCACTCAATGCCTTTACACAAAAGCCTGGCGTCGAAATTTCCAACCAACACCAACCTAGCTCCTCGTCGGGGAGGACCCAATAAAAGCTCAATCCATCAACTCGCACGGGAACGCTTCTCACACGTCTTCTCCACAGTCTTCACGTGCTCCCCACGCGGGAACATGTCATCAGCCAACTCCCCGCGTTCGAGAGAATAAGTCCTCCACCTTCTGAAGTTCACGAGATAGTTGACGCAGAACGAAGACCACGTGTTGATCTTCCCTACGCCACGTAGATTCTGACAATTATCCGCATTGGGCCTAATGATCCAACCCAGTGTAGATAACCATTGGGCCAACGATGATGCACATTATAAATACCTTTTTACACGAGAGGGTTAGGTATTCTAACTCTTTTATATACTCTCTCTCTAAAATTTACTTTAGCATCGGAGTGGTTTACGGGTACACTCCCCTTCTCTTCTTTACCACCGGCGAATTAGAAGCTCACGACATATTGCTGACTGTTGATCCCCTTTTTGATCCAATAAAATCAGGTATAATGCTCGAATTGACAACCATGGTAATTTAGAGTTGAATTAGTCTATCATCATCTCTTTCATATTGGTTATAGCAAACATTGACAGTTATTGGTGGTTGTCAGGTTGGTTGGCTTAGATGATAGTGTGTGATGTGGTAGAAAAAAGGCGTTTGAAGACGATGTTTTGTTATTTTCTAATATCTAACTATGAGTAAACATTGGAAGTCAGCGCAGCAATGTAGCATAATATAAAGTGCATGATCGATCTAACGATGAGTAAACATTAGAAGTCAGCGCAGCAATGTGGCATAATATAAACCGCATGATCGATCTAACGATGAATAAACATTAGAAGTCGGCGTGACAATGAGTAAACGCTAATCTTGATCCCTCTCAAACTAGCCACCAGAACAAGGTAATTATTTAGTACGTGCACACCAAACACTAATACTACATGCAATAATACACGTTCATATAAACTAGGCCAAATCACCAAGATTAAGAACAAAGACTAGTGCCTTGGATTGGAAAGGTTCATTTAAATTGATGTGATGAAAAAGTGCAATCTGCCTTAAGGGGGAGAACATCATGACAGGGAAGCCAAGGTCATGATTGGACAAATTGGCTTACTGAGTTTGTAGGATAAAAACTTAATTTGATAAAATTGAAGCAAACCAAAATTTAAAAGTAAACAAAAACTATGTCAAAGTAATGAGCTGATATGAAATATGTTTCATGTTCAAAACAATATTACTGTACATTAGACCTACTACCATTTATCTGATATGATTCTATCTTTTATATTTATATTGCAAAATACTGTGAGGTTCGTAGCCAACTAAATATGAGCCTAATGTTCTATTTCAGTACAGGCTTCTTATGTGTTTCCCTAAAAGGTATATCTCCACTTAGAATAGAGCTGATAAAATTCTCTACTTCCTCTGTTGTCATTTCACCCGTAAATACAGTGAATTTTCCTTTCCGAGGTTTGTATGCAATCAATAACTTATCTGAGGATTTATAACCTGTTTTGTCAAATGCATTAAGAAAGGTTTGTTGCTTAGCAGAATCTAAGAGAGCATACGAAATGGAGTCCCTAGAGCTTCCGCCTGGATTTGGTTTTCTTGACAAGGACATCTGTGAGACCTGAAATAACAGGGTTCCCATTGAGATTTTGCACAGATAAAATTCATATATAACTCTTTAAATCAGTAAGATGATGAATTTTCACTTACCAACGAGAGAAGTGATTCTAGCTTCTCCCTTGCTTTTGAAGATCTGAAGGCACCGATTATGCAAACTGGAGTTTTCTCCCCACAGAGATCCTCGAAGTTTGACCGAGAAATCAACTGAATGTGTCCGTCTTCTGAATCAGCTTGTTCTTTCTTGGACTGACTTGATGTTTCCTTCTTACTTGCTTTCTCAAAACTATCAAGTATGTTACTAAGATCTTGTACACCAGATTTTATGTTTTTCACAGAAACCCCTGTTTTCAGAATATGCTTTTCTCCATTTGGTAGCCAACCTACAATAGCTGGAAGTGCATCAACTCCTAGCCTTTTCACTCTTGAATCATAAACATCAGGAACCTGCAAATGATTCAAGATACACATTATGCATTTTTGTTTATTTGTTAATATAAATACCAAGATTTCTTTCCACCAAAAAGAACAATCTGAAATATGAACATAAGTGCTTAAAAGATTATAAACCTACACGATGATTGATGATTGGGTATAAATATCAAATGTTCCACGTGAGTGATGAACTAAATATACATACAAAGTGCTTAAAAGATTATAAACATATATAATGGTGGAGTTTAAACAAAGAACTAGGCTTTCACTACATGTGCAGAGAAAGAAATGAATTAACTGCCATTCGTTGCATACATACCTCTACATCACTGAAAGTAATGCGTTTGCGATACAAGCCACTAAGAACACGCCAAATTACAGGAGTGTCCTTTTTGGTGGAGAGAAGCAACACCCTAGGCAACTTTCCGGTAGTGCTAAATTGATCGAGTTGATCCAAGTCAATCCGTTTTGAAAATCTTGGCAAGTGTTGTTGACAGAAAGCCTTCAAATCCTTAACAGACAAGTCACCACCATACTCCACCAGAGAACCCTTTTCATTCTCCTTGTAAGAATAAACAAAAAGCCTAGGAGCTTTTCGGGAATATACACCGATCTCCTTACATAATGAGACTTCCTTTTCACAGTTAATGCTTCCAACCTGTCAAAAAAAAAGAGACAATAAGTCATCCAATTACAATACAATCAATGAAAATGATTTAAGTTCAAAACATGAATAAAAACCTTCAAAGCTCCTTGCAATGTGCTGGAAACCTCTCCGATAATGGACTCAATATGTTGGATGCCCCTCAATGAAGGTAAATAAGATAGCAAAAGCCAAGTCATTCCTTCATCAACTATTTCTTTCTTGTAAACATTTGAGTTTATGGCTTTAAGACTTTTGGGGGAACTCTGGGAACCAGATTGAGACCTAAATGAGTTCCCAAAACTGGACCCAGATTTAGACCCAAATGAATTGCCACCGAAAAAGTTTCCAAAAAGATCATCCAAACCAAATCCAAAAGAATTTGAATCACCGCCGCCAAAGGAAAACGAAAATGACTTAGCGCCTCCTTGATCACCGCTACCCCACTGCTCCCCGGGTCTAAAATGAAAGCTACTTTGTCCAGGACCACCCTGCCCTCCAGGATAACCGGTTTGAAACCCAGGATTACCTTTCTCATCCCCATATAAGTCATAATTCTTTCTCTTCTCTTCATCCGATAAAATCTCATACGCTGTTAAAGGATCCAGAACAACAACAAAAAAAACACTCTAATGAACATCCTCAAACAAGAAATCAATAGAAATTTAGAAACTAGAAAGTAACTTATCATACTATATTAACTCTTTTGTCTAATGGCATAAAGAAAGAAACTTTATATACCATTATTTATCTGAGAAAACTTCTCTTGTGCACCTTTGGCCTTGTTCTTATCGGGGTGATATTGAAGAGAGAGTCTGAAAAAATATAATAAAAAAAACTATAATAATTTGAAAAATAAAAAATTAATCACATGTGTAGGTGTCATGTAGAGCTGGTAAGAAGAATACAAAATCATCATACTTGTGAAAAGCCTTCTGAATTTCCCGTTGACTTGCACTTTTATCAACCCCAAGAACCTGATGAAAATTGAACCTTGTGCAATCAGCATAAGCAAACAATACAATTCAAATCAATACACAAATTTCCCCTTTATCCCTTTTGGAACCATATTCACAAAATAGAAACAATATATAACTCATTAATGCGTATAAACCCTTAAAATGCTCTCAAATTATAAAACCCTAAAGAAAATAAGTTTCAATGGGACTAACCTTGTAAGGGTCGATTGATTTGCCTTCTAATTCCAAAAGGAAACACAACGTGACGACGACGATGAACAATGTGATGGATGAACAGTTCATATTAACAGGATCAGAAATTTGAATTTTCAGAAATGTTTGAAATCGGAACGGAGAAGAACAATGTTTAACAGAATTTTTAACCGGAGTCTCTCTAAATAACACATGAGTTCGCGGGAAGAACATCTAGATGTTTCGTGGTTTTTATTGCCGTTTGACTACGTGGCATTTTGATGTGTAACCACGCACCCTGGCCAATAGGAATTCAGAGTTTCATTATATGACTATCTTATTCATTCCAAAATTTTAAACCATTTCATAAATATTTTAAATAAAATTATAACTAAATAATAAAAATACAGTATATTTTTAGAATGTAGGGTCTGTTTGGTTGAAGGTAGATGAAGTGGAGGGGAGGGAAAGAGATATTTTTAAATATATTTATTTGGTCCATTTTTTATAAGGAGGTAGAGCTGGAAATGAGTTGAGTCAAGTCGAACTCGCCTCAGCTCGGCTTGATTCATTAAAAATTAGTCAGACTCAAATTTTGGTTCGAATTTGATACGAACTATTTTTTAAACTTAAACTCGACTTGTTATAAGTTCACGAGCAACTCGGTACAACTCGTTAGGTTCAGCTAGCTTGATTCACGGATTTAAAAATTATTTTTAAAAGTCTATTTTTTTAATATATATTAGATATTTTAAATCAATATTATTTTTAAAAAAAAGAATTGAAATAAAATAAAAGTTATTAAATTAAAATTTAACTTTATCTCAAAAATATACTCATCCAGAAATTAATTAATTTATATGATACTAATTTTATTTGTATAATCACTTTTAAAAATATTTCGCTCATTTGAGAATATAAATTATCAATTAAAACTGTTAGATTGAAATAAAATATAAATTTAAAATTTATATTAAATCTTTAATCCTACTCTTAAAGACAATATAATATTTCTCATATATAATCGAGTTGGCTCATGAAGCTAACAAATTGAACTATATATAGTTCAAGTTCAACTCATTTAGTTAACGAACTTAATTTTTCATTCATATTCAGCTCATTAGGTTCATGAACCAAGTTCAACGAATTAATTGTCGAACCGAGTTTCGAATTATTTTCGAGTTGGTTCGACTCATTGTCAGCCCTAAGGGGAGGGAAGGGGAGGGGAGCAAAATCTCTCATAAACTCACTTTTTGCTCCCCATCAAATTGGAGGAATTTGGAGGGGATGGAAGATTCATTATTTAAAATTTTATTATATTCTCTATTTTATTCTTAATTATTTATTTTAATTTCAAGATTGTCCTTATTTTTTTGCTCTCCTTCAATTTGTTTATGTTATGTAGCCCAAACTGAATATCATATCCTAGCTGCAAATAATTATTTTTTTTAAGATTATGAATTATATGTTAAACTTCAGTATTAATTTTATTTACGAAAAACTTTAGTAGAATTCAGAATTATATGGTTTCGTAGGATTATGAATTGTATGGTTTCATAGGATTAAGAATTGTATGTTAAGCTTTTGTCCTAATCATTGGTGTTAGCAAATAGTTTTTGGTAGGATAGGAATTATAGTAAAGTTAATTATTTTCTCATATAAGATGATTCATATCTATCTCTGGCTAGGTAGTAGACAATATGGATAATACTGAAAACTAATCAATTGAATAACGCATAATATTTGGATGTGATTTGTGATAAAATAAAATTTATGAATTTTTTAGGATGTGATTTGTGATATAAAAAAAAAGTGAAAATATTCACTTTTTTAACATGTTAACCTTATTTTATCTCTTTTTAATTATATAAATTGTATTATTGGGTTATATGGATTATCAAGATCAAAAAATTGTTATTAGCAAATAGTTTGATTTGCGTCGAAGAGTTATATTTCAACTAATGTGTGTTGTTGTTTACTGTTATGTTTGAATGTCTTGTAAGGATAAAAAGGTAATTTAGTTTTAAAATTACTCCTCTCCCCTTGTGAACCAAACATATATGTAGTTAAAAATTTCTCTCCTCCTCTCCCCTTCTTTGAACCAAACATACATGTAAGCATAAAAAACGGAAATGCTAGTATTTATAAAATAGAAGATTATTCGTATGGAAGTATGGTAGTGAGCTCGTGTACTCATAGTAAAAGGTTGAAATTCTAGTATTTTACAAAGTGATGCTTGTATGAAACATTTTTTTCCTATTTCTTATTAATAAAAAATTTATTTAAGTTTTTAAACTCTAAATCTATTTTTTCCTTCGATTTTACTTTCCTTCATCTTTGTATATATTAAATACTATTCTTGAAAGTTTAAGATACATAAGAAAGAGAGATTTAAATTGGATTTAAAATACGAGAATCTTTTGCAAAACAAACACAAAAAACAACAATGATAGAAAGACATAGGATTTTTCTATTGGTACACGGTTAACTAAGTTAATCCCGTAAAGATGTAAGTTACGCAAACCACGCCATGGAAAGAACAAGCTTTTGCTATGGCTTGAAGAAGAAGAAAGAGAAAAGAGCATGCATACAATAATGAAGAAAGAAGAAAAATATATTGATCAATCTCAAATTGTTACATGAACAATGTGTTCCTTATATATCAAGGAATGTGCAACTAACTAACTAACTAACTTGAAGATAAGTAACTTAAAGTTATTTATTTTTGTTTTGCATAGTAGTTACATTAGTGTGTGCATTAACTATATCTTCATCATCCTATCACCATTAACAACCCCTCTTAAGTTGGAATGGATGTTAATCATTTCAAGCTTGGCTTGAAGAGTAATTGAAGGGACCCAGATGTAAAGATTTGGTGAGAATATCAGCTACTTGATCCTTGGTCATGACAGGCATGAGATGAATGGTGTCAGCTAACAACTTATCTCTTATGACATGACAATCGATCTTTATATGTATGGTTCTCTCGTGAAACACCTGATTTGCAACTATATACATGACATATTTGTTATCATAGTAAATGATGATGGGCATTGGATGATGTATTTGGAAATCTACAAGGAGATAAAGAAGCCAAACACCTTCACAAGTAGTTTGAGCTAAGGCACAATACTCAGCTTCAGAAGATTATCGTGATATCACAATGCCACAACTGTGAAAAACACCCGGCGGAAAAACAGAATAATCGCCACCGAATATTATTTATCCTAAAGAGAGGAAAAGGAAACGATCGAAGAAAACCTGTAGAACGGGAAAAGACAGGGTCATCGCAACCAAATAATGGGTTCAAGAGTCAGTTACGCAAGGGGAAGGTATGAGCACCCCTTATAACACCCCACTTCCCAAAATTAAATTAAAATATAATTAATTCAAGTAAACATCAGAGTTTCTCCTCAAAAGTGGGATATCACTTCAAATAATTCCACGTCAATAGATGGTTTTCAAAATAAAATAGCGGAAGTAATCATTAATTCAACATTCTCGGCCATCCGCCAAATTACATAAAGTCATTCATTGACAAGGTTCACCAAAATATGATACGTCACAGGAATAAAACAAATTCAACATAATAAAAGTAAACACCCAAGTCCCGTGTTACGTATCAGAGCATCCTAAGACTTGACCTGCACACCATTATCCAAGTTCGCTATGTACCTGGATTATTTGTACTCCCGAAGAAGCACAGACCACCACAACAACAAAGGGGTGAGAAACATGATAAAAATTATCAATAATAAGATACATGATCAAAAGTAGTAATTATATAAAATGTCACCCAACATGCATCAACCATGACCTACTGTCTAAACATCAAACACAACATGTAATAATGCAAACATGCAACTCAACACCATGCATGCGGTACCGACTCATTGGTTCATTCAATCGAACCCAGGATAGATCACATACACCCCTCCTTGGCAATGATCTATCCCCACCATTCTCCACAAAGGAGTACGGATGAATCGCATACACTCCTCCTGAGCAACGATTCATCCCACCATCTTCCACAAAGGAGTACGGATGAATCGCATACACTCCTCCTGAGCAACGATTCATCCCACCATCTCCACAAAGGAGTACGGGTGAATCGCATACACTCCTCCTGAGCAACGATTCATCCCACCAAAATACCATGATATGCACAACACCATATGCACAATAAATAAACTTAAGCACACTAAGTGCACACGATCCTCCTGATCACATCACCATGCATCATATATATATATATATATATATATATATATATATATATATATATATATATATATATATATATATATATATATATATATATATATATATATATATATATATATATATATATATATATATATATATATATATATATATATATATATATATATATATATATATATATATATATATATATATATATATATATATATATATATATATATATATATATATATATATTACACAGCAATAAATTATATTAATTACATTAAATATTAGGAAATTTCCATTTTAACACCAAGTATACACTCTTCACCATTAAACACCATATTTATACCCATTGATGACTAAAGGGATCCATTTGCCAAAAGGCTACATTTTACATTTCACAATTTACAACCTAGGATTCACGCCATACGACTACCCATAGCATATTATAATACATCACACAATCTACACGTTATATATCGAAAACATCAACATTGGATGGAAACAACAAAAATAAAACAAGCTGATGTCATGCTCGCTAGCTCACTCGCCTAGCGAAGCCTCAGCGAATGCTCGCTGCCTCATTCGCCTGACGAACTCGCTAGCGAAGGCAAACAGTGGCTACTGGAAGGGTTCGCTACCCAGCTCGCCTAGCGAAGCCTCAGCGAACACTCGTTGGCTCGCTCGCCTAGCGAACACTCGCTGACTCGCTGCTCGCCTAGCGAATTCTGCGATACTCCCAAACCCCAACTGTCCAAAAATCATCAGAAGCTCACAAATCACCCGATTTTTACCAAACCAGTTCCTGTAGTCTTAGCCCAATATTTCCTGACTAAACTACACGACTTAATCCAATTTTTACCCGATAAAACATCAATTCTACTGATTAAACCATTTCCGAC